GGCCCCCAGCTGCCCATGAGAGCGGTGTTAGCGACACGGTGGCCCCTGGCCAGGAGCAGCTCCTGCTGCATCTTCCTGTCGCCGCCACCAGTCTAAATATAACCTGACACTGCACAGCCCTGGGCCGCTGGAGACAGCCTCTCTGCCTGGGGGCGGACAGGGAGGACTGGAGCCCCAGCCTCCTGCCCTCAGTGTGACTTTGGGCCCAGCTCCTCCTGCCGGGAGCCAGGCAGGGAGGCGACCGGGGTGAGGATGGCTGCCTCCCCGAGGTCACCTTCCCTGCAGGGACCCGGCACCCTGCCTCGTTACAGCTCTGGATGCTTCCACAAGGCCATCTGTCATTTCATCTGGCACCCAGGGCAGGAATCACTTATCCCTGCAGTACAAGCTGCAGGGAAACTGAAGCTCAGAGAGGTGGGTGACATGCCCACAGTCACACAGCAGTTGCCTGGGTCTCCCCAGCTGCTGGTTGGGGCAGATCAGCTCGGCTCCGTGGGCTCCTCCCTCTGCCTGAGTGACTCTCCCTTCCCCGATTTCATGCTGGGCTCTGAATTGGGTTCCTTCTGACTTCTTGACTCAGTGAGGGCAGGTGCCAGGCCTGTCTTGTTCCTGACACCCAAATGCTCACATGTATGTGTTCAGGGAACGTTTGTGAGGAACAAAGAGCCATGCTCAAAAGAGCAAGGATGACATCTAGTTTACAGATGAGCAACCAGAGCCTCTGACCTGAGGAGCCTGTCCAAGGACACTCAGGGTCACCTACAGTCCTCCCTTTCCCCGCCGGCCCCGTGCTGCCCTGAAAGGTAAGGCCTGCCCTGTTGAAGCCGAGCCTGGAGCCACACCAAGGCCAGGGGTGCCCAGAAGTGGGAAATTGGGTTTGGGACTGTGGGTGGGGTCTCAGACCCCTGGATGGGTTGGGATGCGGGGTAGGGACATTGCCCCTGGGTGCCCTGCTGGGTGTGGGGTGGTACCAGGGAAAGCCAGTGTTGTGTTCTGGTGGATGATGGCAGGGGTCCGGAGGAACTGTACCTGCTACACTTGGAATGTGTCCCCTCCCCCACCCATCCCTTCTCCCCTCCTTCGTGACTTGTGGGGAGCTGCACGACCTCCATGGGCCATTAGGATCCGAGGCACAGAGGAGCCTGTCAGAGGATGCCTATCAATCACCAATGGCCTCCCTGTTCCTCGTGTCCATCCCCACAGGGCCCAGGTGCCCCAAGCTCCAGGAGGCAGGCGAAGGCTGGACACCCAGCCTTCCAGAGTCTTCAGCTGGGGCTGAGGGTTGGGGAGGATGTGAGTGGGGGATTCTTCAGCAGCAACCACGTGAACCAGGCTGGCCCAGGGCCCTCTCCCTTTCCTCCTCTTGCCATTTATCAAGATTGCCCTTGGGCCCAGCTCCTGCTTCACATATATCATGCCATTCATCCCTCAAGCCCCGTGGGGTGGGCGTGATCTTCCTGTGTCACCGAGGAGCACCCGGAGGCTCGCGGAGGGCAGGTGACTTGCCCAAGGTCATTCTGAAGCAATGAGCCGAGGCCACCCGACTGCACAGCCTGCGCCCTCCCTTTGCGTCGGGGAACCTCACGGCCTTTCTGTGGGCGGTGTGGGCTTCCTACAGCTCCACTCCTGTCTGTCCCTTCCTGACGCGCTCCTGGCGCCAGCGGCGTCGGGAGAGTGGGCCGTTCCTGCCACAGAGTGGCTCCAGGCGGAACTGCAGCCCGGCCCAGCTCTGGGTCCTGTCCGCCTCGGCTCCAGGGGGAGCTGCCTGCCCTGGGGGCAGACCGAGGTCGGAAGAGGAAGCGGAGCAGAGTGATGGGCAGGGCCCTGGGGGGTAGGTAGGCGCGGGGCTAGGGGAGGGTGAGGGACCGTTGTGTGTGCGCAGTGCCCGCCCAGGGCTCCCCCGGAGGCAGCTGAGCCACGGACTCTGGACATTTCTTCCCTGCTGTGAAGTTGTGAGAAGGTCAGAGCCCCACCAGCCACCGGCTGCAATCCGCTCTGTGCTGATGCCCACCTCTGGCTGTCCCTGTGCCCCCACCCCTGTCCTGTCTGACCTTCAGCTGCCCTCAGCGACGCCCCCCCCCCCAATAAGGCCAGCCAGTGACGGGATGGGGGCTACCGGCCGCTCTGGCTGAAGAGCCGGGGATGGGTGATAGGGCAGTCCGTGGAGGACCCAGCCGACCCAGCAGGGTGGTGGGAGGTAGAGCCTCAGAGAGCCCTGGCTGAGTTGGGGCCACTGGCTCTCCTTCTTCCTTCCATGCCCCCTTGAAAACAGCCGCTGGAGCCTACCCCTCCTCCCCCCATCCCCACAGCCCTCAGGCAGGGCTCCAGTTCACATTTTTGGAATAACCAGGGCTTTGACAGGGTTATTTGAAAGGAAAAATTCCTTGAATGTCGACAAAGGGAGAGGGCCAAGGGGGCTTTGTGTGAGTGTGTGTCTGGAGTGGGGAGCTGGTCTATACTGCGAGGGGGCTTGCGGCTGGAGTTTCTGCAGCCCCGGCAGGCGGTGGGGTGGCAGTTTGGGATGCCAGGGTCCTGGGCTACCTGAGATGCAGAATGCTGAGAAGCCTGAAGGGAGTGGGCACGGGCTGTTGAGGCCTGGGGTTCAGACTCCTGGGGCTCTGTGTTGGGGGCAGAATCCCCAGGTCATCCTGAAGGGGTGGGCTCATCTGGGTTCCAGACTCGTGGACTTCTCTGAGACGAATTTCCTCGTGAGGAATGAGAATCAGGGGCCTGGATCACTGGGGTGCCAGGGGTGGGTGTTGAGGGTCTCCAGGGCTCAGGTTTCCTGGTCTCTGGCCTCTTCTTAGTCCTGATGAGGGCCAGTCCCTGTTCAGGCCGCTGCCGGCCATCACCATATTAGGGCATAAACTCAAGGCGGGCTGTCTGGGTGCCAAACGGTCTCCAGCTGGGCCCGGCCCCCTGCAGCGCCCGACACCACAGCCTGGCTTTAGCCAGGACATGTCAGAGGCCGGAGGTCAGGGGACAGCTGCTGGAGGAAGACCCAGACAGAGCCCCCAGCTCAGGTCCCATAGGCCAAGCCAGGATGTGGTGAGTGGAAGGGCTTCAGGGCAGGGTGGAGAATTCCTGGCCAGCCCCTCCCCTGGCCCAGCCCCCCTCAACCCAGTGCTGTCCTGTTGCAGTTGGTTTCAGAGGACCTCCTTCAGCTAGCTTGATCCCACAGCCCTTAGAAGTGCTGATCTGCCTGCCTCTCCTGGCCTTGTCCCCTGCAAGTCCTCCGCAAGCCAGGGAGCATCTCCCAGGACTCAGGCCCTCTGCACCTGGCCTGCTCAGCTGAGGCTCGGCGCCCAGAGCCTTGTTGGCAGACATCAAGCACTAGCTCAAGTCTGAGGCTGCCGGCCCCAAGTTTGTTGGCCTCTTCCTTGACTCAGTTCACCACCCTCACTTGCTCTCCACCCTTCTCCTTCTTGACCCTTTCCCCACTGTCAGCACTACCCCATCCCTCACACCTGCTGCCAGGGCCTCCTCCCTGGTGCATTGTTCTAGGTGCTGGGCCCTTCAGATGGGATGCAGACACTGGGGAGTTAGGCCCCTACAGTTCACAGAAGACAGATGAGGGGGAGCCAAGGGAAGGAAAGAAGTCTCTGCCTCAGAAAGAGAGGGAGATGAGGAACATGTCTGGTCCCTGTAGGGGCCATAAAGAAGGAGGAACAGGATGTTTCATCCAGGAGAGCTTCCTGTGGGTGGGGGTTCTGAGCTGGGCCTTAGGCAGAGGCTAAGACTGCCAGGGTCTCTTTCAGACGAGATCGGGCGCGTTCAGGGTGGTATGGCCGTAGCCAGGGTCTCTTTCAGAAAGCGACAGAGATCGGGGCGCCTGGGTGGCTCAGTCGGTTCAGCTTCTGCCTTTGGCTCAGGTCAGGATCCCAGGGTTCTGGGACTGAGCCCCACATCAGGCTCCTTGCTCAGCGAGGAGCCTGCTTCTCCCCTGCCTGCTGCTCCCCCTGCTTGTGCTTGCTCTCTGTCTCTCTCTCTCTCGCTCTCTCTGTGTCAAATAAATAAATAAATAAAATCTTTAAAAAAAAAAAAAGAAAGCGACAGAGAGAGGGGTGAGGGGGCAGTGCTCTGGACAAGGAGCAGAGGTGGACTGGGTGCATTTGGCCTGGGGAACTGATGTCACCTGGAATAGGGGCTCTGGTGGCCAGAGAGAGAGAGAGAGAGAGAGATTGAGAGATTGGGAAGGGAAGAAAAAAGTCAAGGAACAAGAGAGAAAAATGAGAAACAGAAACAAAAGTTCTAGAAGCAGTGCTTCTCAACTCTTTGTTGAAAGATCACTTGCTTTATTTCTATAAATATCAGACCAATCCTTTTGTGAAACACAAAATGACACGCTTGGATATTGTGGCAATACCAAATTGCGGTAATGGTTTTGAGACTCTTGCCCTCAACGTCTGAACCCACCTTGCCGTGGACGGGCACAGCAGTTGGTGCTAATGTGGGGAGAGCAGTCAGAGACAGAGGGACTGCTGACCCCTCTACCTGTCCAGGCCACACCAGGCACTTGGCATGTACTGACTTGTTTCATCTTTACAACACATGAGAAATGAGTGATTATCATTCCCATTTCAGAGGGGAGGAAGATGAGGCACAGGGAGGCTAAATCATTAAGGGGGGACAAAAGCGTAAGTGACAAAGCAGCAGAGCTGGAATGGGAGCCTGGAGGTCCTGGGCCTGAAGTCTGTGGGCTTCCCTGCAGTGCTAGACTGCCTGGCACGAGGGGCAGCGAGGAAAGATTGAGAGGCTAGGGAGGGACGCGCAGAGAGGCCCTCACAAGAAGCAGCACGCTGGAGTGGACAGATGGAGGGAAGGAGCTCAGAGTGGCAGGCACATGGCCGAAGGAGGGGTCTGGGCAGGAGACACCGTGGAGGAGGGGCCAGGAAATGGGTATGGGGCCCGTGGGGCCGGCATGGACCGGCCCCGTCGGGTTCTGCTCTGCCCACCCGAGGGGCCCTGGTGCCACAGTGGCCAAGTCCTCTGCTCTGCAGGGAGCTGCTTCCTGTGCCTGGTGGATGTGGTGCCCGTGAAGAATGAAGATGGAGCTGTCATCATGTTCATCCTCAATTTCGAGGTGGTGATGGAAAAGGACATGGTGGGGAGCCCGGCCCATGACACCAATCACCGTGGCCCCCCCAGCAGCTGGTTGGCTCCAGGTAAGTGCAGCCATGCTCTCAGGTCCCTTTCCTGAGGCCTTGAGACTCCCCAAGGCCAGTGCTCTGCAGGAAGGGATGTTGGGGGGGTGCTCCCTTCAGATATTGGGGAGAGAACACCAAGGATATGGCCTAGTCCCATATGGCTCAGGATGGACAGACAGGGGTGGGGTGACGGATTGAGCCTAGATTCACAGGTCCTTGGGACAGGACTGCACCTGGTTTCCTAGCCCTCCCTGCTTGGGTTCCTGGAGTGGTCCTGTGTTGAGCCCCAGGAATGGGGGATTCACCCTTCCCACATGGCCCTGGCCACCTCGGAGTGGCTCCCCAGCTCATCAGAAGGCTCTGTGTCTTAGGGACTCAACTCCCCTCCCTGTGTTGCTTCGGGTCCCTGGGCCTTGTTCCTGGACTGGCCAGCTCCTTGCTCTGGCCGTGGCTGATTGGGAAGAGGAGTTGAGGGGAATGCTCACCATGGCTGGAGACACGGAGGCCTCGTCTCGTTCTCCCATAACGTAAAGGCTCCCCCTTCCTTCATGACATCCTGGGTTTAATTTTAATTTTTCCCTCAGAGTCTTGGCAAAAGATTCCAGCTCTTGGTTTCTCAAGCTCCAAGAAGGCGGTCTTAAGGACAGTGGCCTTACCTGTTTTCCAGGGACGGTCTATAAGACGCCAGCGTATGGCAGGGTGTGGCCGAAGGCCATGGCATTACTCCTCCATGCAAATGCAGGCCTTGCCATTTACTGTGTGACCTCTAGCACATCACACAACTCCAGTCTAAACTGGGGATAATGACACCCACCAGCCCAGTTGTGAGAGTCATGCATGGTTTATGCAGAGCCCACCATGACCTGTGAGGTACTCTCAGAGCCTTAGATGAGATTATCTTCTGGAGGTCTTTTGAGACTTGAGTTCGGTGCAGTGGGAGTTGGGGTGAAGGGGTGCCGGCTACCAGGGCTCCCGCTTCTCCACCTGCCTCCCCTTGGTGGCTGGGGCTCCAGCTCCCAGTCTTCCCTGCTCTGGGCTGCTGTCCTGGCGGTCTCCGTGGCCACTTGCCTCCCCTCTTCCCGCAGGCCGAGCCAAGACCTTCCGCCTGAAGCTGCCTGCGCTGCTGGCCTTGACCGCCCGGGAGTCCTCCGCGCGGCCAGGCGGTGCGGGCAGTGCGGGTGCCCCGGGGGCTGTGGTGGTGGACGTGGACCTGACGCCTGCGGCGCCCAGCCGCGAGTCGCTGGCCCTGGATGAGGTGCCGGCCATGGACAACCACGTGGCGGGGCTCGGGGCGG